GATACTATAGTGTCATAACACTTTGTGATACCATAGTATCATGATTTGGTGATACTACAGTGTCATAATTTAGTGACACTTTTTTAGTGTTAGTAGTCTCCACTTTCAGTGACACTTTTTTAGTGTCACAGAAGCCTGTTAGTGACACTAAAAAAGGCATTTGTCTAGTAGTGATGAGGCACCAACCTTAGAAACAAGGCAATCATCACCATCAGGGGGACAGGGGTCAACACGAACATCAAGTACAGAGCTACCAAAAACAACAACACTAACAAATGCTGCAGAAAGGCCTCCTACCTCACTAGAATTTAGAGCCCTTAAATCATGTAAAGGGATCGGAAGTCCCTCAAGGGAAATCTAGACGGGGGCTAGGGGGGAGTCCCATTTTTTTGGAAATCAAGGTCGGACTTGAAATTGATTAGAACAATGTTCGATTGGAGCAAACCAACCGGATAAGATTGAGCAAACCCTAACATTTCAAAAGCCTTACGAATCACAGGGATAGGGGGCGTCCGAAGGGAAAAGTCTTGACCATGGCGTATAGGAATGGGAGGGAAAGAACCTGTAAGTCGTTTTCAGAGAAGGTTATGGACAGGAAGCCCTTGACGGTTCCAGACGATCCCAGCTCAGCTGCGTCGGAAAGTGAGCAACCCTAAGAATGCAATCGATGGCCTGGGATAGGATCCCTTACCACCTATGCATAGGAAGTCTTCGCCTTCGAGGTCACCGGGACTGGTCCTTCCACCGGCGGCATTACTACCGCACTGGCTTCAGGCTGTCCGAATGAGGAAATCGCAGAAGGCTAGAGAGAAGATAGAGCGTCTGGCTCCTCCGTCTAATTTTCGTACTTGTGTAAGAGCAAGAGTGTCACTATTCTATAATAATAATAATATACCAAAAGCAATGACACATATATGTCATAAATACCATAGTGATGTTATAGTGTCACTAAATAAGTGTCACTGTAAGCCAGTTTGTTAGTAGTGACTCCCTCCGTTCCTATTATAACTTCCAATTTTCCTTTTTCGTCCGTTCCAATTAAAACTTCAATTTTTCCTTTTTGGTAAAGAATTTGTGATTCACAACATTTCTTACACATTTCTCTTTCTTCTGCACAACTCTCCACCACACAATACTCACTATCTTAAATTATGTGTCAAACCTATTTGGAAGTTATAATAGGAAGGGAGGTAGTAGTATCTTCTCTCTTTCATGGTTGTTTGGTCTTTAATGAAAAAAATAACGTATAAATGGCGGAATAATAGATGCAAGAATATCTCCTAATGATTAAAATCCATTATGGATTTTAAAGGATTTTAAAAGATTGTGAATTTTATGGAATTTGGTGGAATTCAATAGATTTAATGGAATTTAGTAGAATTTTATGGATTTCAGTTTGATGGAATTATTCGGATTTCAGTGGACTTTAACCTGTCCGATTACCTCTGCCCTCCCTCACATTCAATAGATATATGTAATGGCCATTCAATTTCACATCGATTACCTCTGTTCTTCATCTCATCCAATTCCAGAATCTATTTTCTAGGCATAGCCGATGATTAACTCTGCTATTCCTCTCATCTCTAACCCTTAGCCAAACTTCAATTTCACTGACACATCATCTCAATGTGCGCAGATCTCTCCTGTTGGCGGTGGCTGAACAACAAAGTAGGTGATCTCAGTCCTTCACCAGTTACATCCAGACATGTCGAGTAGCCAACAACCGGTAATGTTCATACGACTTGTATGAATCTCTTTGTCGGTGACTTACCTCACTGTTCATACACAACTTTGTTAAAATCAAACTCTTTTGAAATCCGATGGATCTTGGTGAGATATGTGATGGAGTCTTTTGTAGGTACAATTCCATCAAAATCATTTGAAATCCATCCCAAAATATAATAATTGAAATTCATGGATTGTTTGAGGACACCTATATTTTCATAGACTCCATTAAAATCCAAACTGAGGACACCTACATTTAGATGGAATTGTAAAGTCTATTAAAATCTGCATGGAAATGCTTTCCAATCATTGCTCTATTAATCTACATTATGTACGTGGAGCCCTAGGATTGTGCGATTACTAACTTTTTTATTACTCTTTTCCAGTATTTGCTTTTAGCCAACTATATTTTAACATTGTGTTATAGTGTGGTAAGATCCACCTTCAAATATGTCACTCATCATTCTTTTGGATTGAAATTTGTTGATTTGGTCTTTTCTAGTAATTGTCTGGCATCTGTATATTTTATAACTACGGAAGTCAGACTTGATCTAGTCTGATCTGATATGATCTGGTCTGGTTTGATCTGGTCTGGAATCGAAGAGCAGTCCAAAAGAAAAATCGTAACATTGAGGGATTTTGCTCCTCTCCATTAACTGGAAATGTCTAGTAGGAGAGAGATAGAGAGAAGTGGGGAAATGGTGGGGTAGGGAAAAAGAAAAGATTATGTTTAATTATTATTTTTAAGGAGAGATAGAGTGAAAAAGAAATGGAGAGAGTAAATGAAAAGAAGAAAATGGAGAGGAGTATGACGCAAGAGAAAACAAAGACTAGCTTTAAATATAGACAAAATAATGTTCGTGCTCTCGCATGAAATGCACATTTTTTATTAGGAAAGTGACACACTAACATTACTATAAATAAATGATCAAAAAAGAAGTTATCGAAACCCAAAACAACTAATTCTCCTCAACAATGGCACCCCAAACCTTAGTTATCAAGAAATCCAATCCTTCCCTCATCAAAAAAAAAAAAAAAAAAATTCAAACCTTGCTGGTTGAAGTTCATGTCTTTCACAAATGAACATTTTGGTTAGCACACAAAAAGAAGAAGATGACACCAAATAAATTAAAGAAGAATAAAAGAAAACGAAATACAGAAGAAAACCTGGGAGGTAAGGAAAGGAAAGTTTAAAGGGAAAGAAAAGAAGTAATAGAAAAAAGAAAAGGAAGATAAAGAAAAAGAAAAAGGAAAAGGAAAAGGAAAAGAAAAGGAAGGAAATATAGAAATTGCTCTAAATAGGAGCACAAGCGTTTTGAAATTCCAAAATAGGAGTATCATGTTTTTTTATTCTCTGAATATGAGTAATCTGCCAAATTTGAAAAAAAATGTCATGTTTTAAAGGCTAGTAATGCCAAACTTGGCAAAAATTTACTTTTATTCAAAGAATAAAAAACATGATACTCCTATTTTGGAATTCTAAAACTTTTTTACTCCTATTTAGGGAATTCACCCAAAGAAATAATATGATATCAACATCTTAGCAGTAAGTTAGTGTGGTAATGTTCATGCTAAATTATTAAATGTATTGTTTTAGAAGTAATTATTTGTAAGTGATACTTTTATTTTTGCGTTTATGTATATTAAATGTTACAAAACTTCATTTAGACCTTACCTTTGTCTTATATTGTATATATTTAAAAGATGTAAAATAAATTATTCCTTCAATGTTATTAAAAGTGGAGTCACTGTTTTAGTAATTTTAGTCATAGTAATTTCATTACGTTCAATTTGTACACTTAAACAATCTTGATAGTATGGTACTATGCTATTGTAACTTCTAGTTATATTTTTATAACTAAATTTTATTTATGTAATACTTTTGGAAAACTTTTAAAAAACTGTTCAAAAATATTTTAAAACTCTGTACGAAAAACTAAGATAACTTTTATATAATCAATTATTAAATAACTTTTACCTAACTTTCATCTTCTCGGTTTGATGGTTATCCAAACTATCTGATGATGAAAAACTAAGATAACTTTTATCTTCTCGGTTTGATGATAAAATCTTTTATTACTCTGTATGAAAAGCTAAGATAACTTTTATATAATCAATTATTAAATAACTTCTACCTAACTTTCATCTTCTCGGTGTGATGGTTATCCAAGCTATCTGATGATGACAACGACGCTCAGAGATTCTTGGTAGATGTATGATCCAATTGAATTGTTATTCTCTTCTGGTTGTGTTGATTTTGTTATATGGCGGTTCTTTCTGAGGCACTAGTGCTATCTCCAGGGTGATTTGTCTCTCTCGATGTGGGGAGTTCAATTAGTATCTAGGCTAGCTTCGTCTGGTCATGAGTTTGTATCTGCTTTCTTCCAGAGTGTGTAGACATTGGTAGAGTCTGTCCTCCTCCAGAACCACATCCATGCCATGAAAGAGTGTTGTGGAAAGACTTTATTTCAATTTTATTTTTCTATTAGTAGTACTTGTTTTTATTTTAATTTCAGTATATTTGGTTTGAAAATTTGGACTCCTGGCATATGTTTGATAGGGAGTATTTCAGTCCTAATTGTTTTAGGCTTTAAATTGCCTGTTTCGTGTCTAGCAAATCAGGTTGTTTTGTATGAGGTGACTGGTTCTATGTCTATTCTCAGGGCTCACAATCGATCTGTCATAGGTGTATGGATGTTATCTTGTATTTTTTCCCGATTTTATTATAAAAGTTGATCCTTTATATTCAAAAAAATAACTTTTACGTGAAAAAGATAGATGTGAAGTTTATGACTTCTATGAATTAAAGAGTACTACCTCCGTCCCGGAATTATCTCCTTATTTGACTGGGCACGGATTTTAAGATAGTGAAAAATGTGTGGTGGAGAGTTGTGCAGAGGAAAGAGAAATGTGTAAGAATGATTGTGAACCACAAATTTTTTACCAAAAAGGAAAAAAGGAGATAAATTTGGAACGGACCGAAAAGGAAAGAATAAAGATAATTCCGAGACGGGGGAGTATCATATTTGTAATCATGTACATCCAACTTGTCGTGACCATAATTAATCTAGATGACTACATTTTGAAATTATGTACATTCAATTTGTTGTGACCATAATTAAACAAAGGAAAATACAATAAAATCTACTTTAAAGTTTTTGATTTGGAGCACATTTTGTGACATAAATAATACGGAGGAATAAATAATAAACAACATTACCATAAATAAATTGGCAAAAATTGTTACCAAAACCGGTAACAATTAATTCCCCACATGAATGACGTGCCAAACCTTGGTTATCAAGAAACCGAATCCGAATATTTTGCTCCGTATCATTTATATATATTTAAAATATTCAGTCATTCCATTCCATCCCACCTTAATTGGGCTCAAACGCCTGATTAGTTGAGGGTTTTGACTGTTCAAAACAGCTCAATTGTCCATCATCCCTAGCCGTCTTCCTCAGGTATACTGCCGATCACTCTGTATAGAGCTTCTTGTTTTCTTTTGTTTGGGTTCTCGTCAAAATTAAAAGATTCCATGTAATATGGATTAGTTCAATCAATATATTAATTGCAGGGGCTCCCGTCTGAATCTTAAACCTAGCTTTATGTATGAAAATGTGTTTTTCCCGCCGATTTCTGTCTATTGATTGCAAACACATTGTGAAACTTCTGCTCGATCCTTCAACGTTTGGTTATGCCGGTCATAAATGTAAATGGGGTCTAGTGATTTCCCTTTGTGTTGGTTTTGTTTTTCTAACTCTGATCTTCTTGGAGCAAACAAAAATCTTCCCTTTTTCGGTTGATTGCAATTTCGTTAGAAATTCGATTTGTTTCTGTTGTTCTCGACTTTTAACACATTTTGTTGTAATCCCCAAAAATTTAGTGTTATAGATTCTGCCTTTAGAGTTTTTTTGGGATTCATAATACAGATATTCGTAAGTTGTGCTGGTAAACATGGCGTGCATAATAATTGCCTTACCTCATTAAAATATATATCTATAATAATAATAATTACTTAAAGTGAATACCTTTTATAGAGTTTATTGGGATTCATTGTATGCAGATTCTTCTAATTTGCAGATCCTAATTGATGTATAGATACTACGGAGTATATTTTTCTTTAATAAATCTCTAATAAATCATCGTTTCCATCATTTGCAATGGAGCCAAAGATTCATTATTTTTTGGCTTGAGATTATGATGGAATAAAGCAAAATGGCTCACTAAACTGTTTGCGCTTCTTTGTCATGAAGCAGCAGTCAGTCCATGCAATTTTGGATGGGATTTTCACTATGGGTCATCCGGAAACAGTCTCTCTGTGCTTTAGTACAGGGGTAAGACTGCGTACATCCGACCCCCCCTTACCCTACCGTAGGTGGGAGCCTTTGCGGCACTGGGGTAAATGAAAATGAAAATGAGTTGTGTTTAAATTGTCATGCACAGATGGATCAGATAACTAGTGATATGGTGGGATGCGTGTTTGCTGAGAAGTATTATAAGCGTTTGCATATTAATCCTGAAGCAAGTTATGGATTCTACATCAAATCGAGTTTGGCCACTTGGGATTCCCAAAAATGCATTACAACCCTCGAAGTAAGAATTCATGTATTATGATTTTATGATCTTTATTTGAAGCTTAAATGTAGGTTAATTTTTTCTTGAAATTCTATAACTTTGGCCTCTCTTAGGAAAAAATGATCGTAATAATTCCAACTATTGGCGTTCTGCTCATAATAATCTCAACTATCTATTATTTTAGAATAATTCCAACTTTAGGGACCTTCCGCCAATAATGGTCCGACGTGACCGACTATAAATAAATTCTTATAGTTTCTAAAGAGATATAACAGGTAATCCCTATAAATAATCCCAAATTTTAATTTATACGCCTAATTTCTATTAAAAATTCACTTGTTAGAGCAGGTAATATGCGGTCATGGACCATTATTGGCGTACGGTCCATATAGTTGGGATTATACAAAAATAATCAATAGTTGGGATTATTGTTAGCGGACCGGCAATAGTTGGGATTATTATTTTCATTTTTCCCCCTCTTTTATTGTTTCTTTTATTGGAATTTTGCGATCACACTTCAGATTTCATGTGTTAATGGTATTGTGGAAAACCCATGCTTACCCAATTGTTCACTGATGATGCAGGGAATACACAAGATGATCATGTCATCAGACTTCAAAGATTGTTTTTTTGAAATAGAGGATATCCGCACCCAAGATTCTTTGGAGGGAACTATTCTTGTTGTTGTTACCGGTGTCTCAATTGGGAAAGAAAAGTTGAGAAGGAAATTCAGTCAGACATTCATTCTGGCCAAAAATGAAACCGCTTTTTTTGTTTTAAACGATATTCTTCATTTCATAAGTGAAGGAGATGACATAGTATCCAAATCTCAACCAGTACCCAATATAGGTAATTGAACATATTGAAGTCTTGTTTGGATGGATTTGGTAATCAGTACGTACTAGGTAAACTAAATAGGATCACTAGGAAATTAGGAATTGAATTCACTTAAATCCTTGAAATTACTTTATTCTCAGGAATCCAAAGCCATTCAAACAAGTCTGTATCAGTACCATGTTTTGAATAATGTTTATATAACACCTTCACTCATAAACTCCAAATCTTCTTTCAGAGCCAGCAACAAAAGAAGTGGACAACGTGAATGATGTGGCTGATTTTGCTATGGCTCCTGAATCAACAATAACGGAAGTCGATGAACTTGAAATGCAGCCTACGCCTGAACCAGTACTTCTTGAGGTTGTTCCACAGGTACAGATGGAGGAGAAAGTAGTTTCTGAGGTTTCATCGGATGTAAACGAGGGCGTCCCTAAAGTTATGGAGACAGTTTCAGAGAAGGTGGTAAAGGTGGATGAGGTAAAAGTGGATGCTGCTGCTTCTGAAGATAACTCAACAGTGTCAGAGGAGGTAAAGGATGCTGCTCCTAAATCATCCTATTCAGAAATGGTAAGGGTTAACATGAAATTATATCATTATGTTGTAAATTTGTTATTTCGCCAATTATATTAACCAAAATGTTCTTTACCATAGGTATCAAAGAACAAAATGGGCTCTACACCCACACCTGTTACCCAATATGTCAGAGTTTCTGCCTTGGATGGCCTCACTGAAGAGGAGAAGACCAAAGTAGCAGCTTTGAGAAATGGCTCAATTAGGCCAATGGCTGCCGCTTCTACGAAAAAGCCTGAAACTCCTCAAAGCAATAATAGCCCACCCATTGATAAAAACACTGGCCGTGAGTATATAAAACTTGTTTTTCTTGTTCTCTTGTGAGGTCTGAACAAAATTCTGAACTTGAGTTTGTGCATCATGTACTGAATCATTATTCACTTTTCAGCAAAGGGCATATATGTTGGGGGATTACCGCCAGATACTACTAAAGATGATCTTGCTGGTGTGGTCAAGGTTTTTGGTAGTGTGAAGAAGTTTGATGGTGTTCAAGTCATTCGATCTGATGGTGATTACTGTTTCGGATTTGTTCACTTCCAGTCTGCGGATTCTGCAAAGAAGGCAGTTGAGGTTGTTGTTCTACATCTTACTTTCTTCTAAGCCATGCATGTATTATTTTTTTCCTGCTCAGGTTCCATCTAATTCCACTTTGGTCCAGCGATCTCAGGCCTGAACCTGATTATTCCCCAACGAGTCGACCCCAATTTTTATCCCATTTGAATGGACAGTTTCTGACTAATAAAGAACCGTCAAATTGAAAAAAGTCCGACAAACTGATAGAAACAAAACCGATCAAAGTCAAACTGATCAAAAGATTCAAAACTGTTCCAACTATAGGTGGTTCAATTTAAGATTTAGCTTTGAAAACGGACCAAATCTATGGAAACTTACTCAACTCCCTAAATCGAATTAGGTTATTTGGTGTGGTTTTTGGTTTGGCATTTTGTTCGCTCCAAACTGATCCCCCCCCCCCCCCCCCCCCCCCCCCGACAAACACCTCTAACCTTGATGATCTTTGATTGTTTTCAGACTAAAGTCATCATGGTGAAAGGCAAGGATGCGTACATCTCATATAAGAGAACCGGGAGAAGAGGTATTGTGTCTTTTTATTTGAACCTCAAGTCTCAGCTGGTTTTCTTGATTTATACAAAGTATTGCATTTGATAACAAAAAATTGATGGCAACCTTGCAACTCTGCTGCAGCCTCCTATGGCAATGACAATCGCGGTAGGTCTCCATTTGGCATAGGTGGATCCCACAGCACGACTCCATCGAGCAGGGCCCCATCATGCAATAGCCAGTTGAGTGGGTCCCATAATAGCGAGACTCGCCATGTCAACCAGCACAGAAATGGTGAAACTCGCCACGTCAAACAGCACAACAATGGTGAAGCTTTCCAAGTCAATCAGCACAGCAATGGCGAATCTGGCCATGTCGACCAACACAGCAATGGTGAAATTACTAGTGCGGATGGAGACGAGGAGGGATGGATCGTTGCGAAGAGACGCCAAAGAGGGCGCAACGATGATAATGCGAACGAGAGAAGTAATGGTCAAAGACTGCGAAATGGAAAAACATATTATCAGCATGCCATTGAGCCGGACCGCAGAATGAGAAACGGCGAAAGGGGGGAACAAAGACGGCACAATGGAGGGGTCCATGATCAGAAACGTAGCAGCAGTTGAAGTGATGCAACATGCTTAACATCTGTTTTTCCCGTCATGCTCCAATTTTTGCGATTTTTTCCTGTCCTCACTCCTAATCCATTGTCTATTAGGAATAATTATTTGTTACACTATATCCATGGCTTTTATAAAATTTTGTATTTGAGATATTACTTTTCTTAGTTCCACTTTCAACAACTCATTAGTTTTAATGATAGCAATTTTTTTACGGATTGGGCAAAATTGGTTTGAATTTATTTCTCAGAATTTTAATTTGGATTGCCTTTAAATCACTTTTCAAAACAGAATTAGAATTAGTTTTAAGAAGGTAGTCTCGCTCAGCTTCTAAAAAAATTGATTCTATGAGTAAATTAGAACACCAGAAGTACTGTACTTTCACCCACACTTCAATTTCTGCTTTTGATCCCTGAAGGAACAAAAGCAACTTTTGCTTCTGCCTTCCTGAAGAAGCAGAAACAGTTTTAAGAATCCGATCCAAACACCCCTTAAACACACATTAATATATCATAATATCACCCTAAAGTACTTATACTATACATGACTTAAATTGATCAGTTATATAAATATTTTCTCGGATTGGACTTTTCATTTAACTACTACATATAAGTTATACCAGATAACACTTTGGCTGATAATATAAGATAGGAAGTATGTGACAATGTGAGGCTCTTAGTAACATAGTAATATTTTTTTACATGATCTTATTTACATTTTGTTTTACGTTCTTGTAAAATTATATTTATGATATTCCGTTTTATAATTTATGTTAGTTTTCAATTTAGCCTGTAATCGGTGACAATAACCTTCTTTTGACAATGAAACAATCCTAGATAATTTCTCATTGTCTCCTCTCATTTTTTTGTCATGTTATATTAAATAAGTATTTAACTTTATTTTTAGATGGTCGTTAATACATATTTAAAAATATGAATAATTAATTCTACATTATTTTAACTCTCACATTAGCTTCAAAAAATTATGAAGGAATAAATTTAATAGTTTGTAGTAGTACTATGCAACCTACAATAACTTTTTACCTAAATAGAGAGTGTCGGAGTTACAAGTGGACATTACAAGGATAATAAATAAAAGAAAATATTTTGCAAGAACAAAAAATAAAGTGTCATATATGGAAGGACTAAAAAAGTATTTAAGCATATGGAAAATTATCTAATGTCATGATAACTTAAGTTTAAAAATTAAACATAATTTATTATGATTTCATTACTACACTAGTCACGAGTCACATTTTTGTAAACAATAATCAATATAAGAATATATTAATAATCAATATATATAATAACATATTATTATAATAATCACATTGTTTTCCACAAATGAAATATAGTACGTACGTAGTAGTATTATTGCTTAAGGAAACATGAAATCATTAAGGGTTTGTTTATTGACAGAAGTATTTTCAGTTTTTCAGAATATAAGAAAACTAGAAAAGAAAAACCCAGAAAACTTGTTGATCGGAAAATTTTGCTAGAAAACTTGAGAAAGGAAAACAGTAATATGTGTTCATTAAACCATTTTTCAAATAAAAAAAATGAGATATGTCTCTTTTCTCCTTAATGAATGAATCAGAGAAGTGAGTTTTACTAGTTTTTCAAATTTTGAAATATGAGGATAATGCAGTGTCGTTGCAATGAATTTGCATACTTACGCCTAGTAGTGAATCCGGTCCCGCTCCGTTCAAAGTTCTGGTCCGGTCAACGACCCTACGGTCCTTATGCGGTCAGGTCAATGACCCGACAATTCCGGTCCGATCCGGTAAATGCCCGTCAATATCTGTTCGATCTGATCGACAACGATCAGTCTCGATCCAGTCCGATCCGGTTAATGACATGACCGTCCTTGTTTGGTTCGATCAACGACCCGGTGGTCCCTATTTGGTCCGACTGACAAGCCGGCGGTCCCTATCCAGTCCGGTCGATGACCCAACAGTCTTTGTTTGGTTTGCTAATGACACAACGGTACTTGTCTGGTCCGATCAATTGTCGGAGCAGCCCCAATGTGATTCGCTTTGGTCAACAACTCGGTGCTTTCTGTCCCATCTGGTCAACGATAGGGCGGTCCCTGTTCGGTCCGATCAACGACTCGACGGTCCTTGTTCGGCCCGATCAACGACCAGACGTCTCTGTTTGGTCATTGCTTATTTTTTACAATCATTTTTTCAAAGGAAATTTCTCTAAATAAGAGTAAATAGGGTTTGGAATTCCATAATAGGACTACTATGTTTTTCATCCCGAAATAGGAGTTGTTACTGCCATGTATGAAAAATACTGTCATTAATTGTAATAAATACTGTCATGTGAAATGCACTGTACTGCAACTATTTGGCAGTTACACGATGGCAGTAAATACTGTCATGTTAGTTCTATTTCGGGAATAAAAATATAGTAGTCCTATTTCAGAATTTCAAACTCCATTCACTCATATTTTGGGAAATCTTATTTTTTTTTCAATGTGAAGAGTTTCAAAAGAGCATTTAAGTTGCCAAACAATAAGGAGGGGAGAAAAGAATTAGTCAAACTAGCGATTGGGACCAATCGGTATTGGCTGGTTTCGGTCCCAACTTTCATATACCCGGGACCGGGTACCTTACTTGAGTTGTACTAATAGGGAGTAGTTTTGTTTCCGGACCGAGGCTGTACTTTCGATCTTCCGACTTGTCACATAATTGGGTGAAAAAAGTTGATGAACATGTTTTAAGATTTGAAAATGAAAAACTGAAAACCGAAAATTGTAGATAGAAATTCTGGAAAATTAAAACAAAAAATTAGAGAATAAAAAGCAAAAAAGAAATATGCAAAAATACCTTTGTTAGTGATGGAGTTTAATCCAACTGTTAGAGCTAAATTTACTAGAGATGGAATTATGGCAGCGTAAGACAATATTATTATTCGAGAGAATGATTTATCGATCCCCTTTTGGGAGAATTACAGGAAGTATTTATAGATTACAAAAACAAGTATTCTAGGAGGAAACTACTACATTTAATGCTATTAATTACGGAGCATATATTAGTTCGAATAGAACTCTTGTAGAGTCTCGGTCATTATGCAACAATCGTCTTCTCCAAGTCTACGTTTCCCGTTGAGTCCTGTCTGCTGCCAAATAGCTATACTTAAATAATAGCCTGTCACGTAAACCCTAGGAATATCCCAGCCTCACCGGAACTCAGCCCAGGCTCGAGGTCTGCCATCCAGTCCGGCCCGGCTGTGGGTTCCTATCGTGGGCCTAATTCCTCTTTGGACTTAGCGGCTTATTCAATATGAATCCTGTCCAGGGCTCGATCCCGCTTTGGACTACGTAATTGGGCCATGGTCAGAGTCCATGGTACCATCACGAGCCCCCCTACTCTCTTGAAATCAGTAGTGCTGGATTTCAGGAGAGTAATTTGAATAGTCTAACTAATTCCAAATTTCAAATCTTTTTTGGGTAGACTGTAGCGCCGCTCATCATTAAATGCAAGCGACACGTGCTCGACTCAAGCCCATGGCCCGACACAACTTCCAATCCACCCTTCCACCTTCAGTACTCAAGTGCTATAGTCACGGTCTTTCAAGCGGCCCCATAACCCTAATTTCTTGGCTATTTAAACGCGCACCATTCTTCACAAAACTCTTCTGCAATTTGCGTTCTTGCTCGGGTCTTCGTCTCTTTGGTTAGGAACCCTAAGCCGCGAAACTCTTTCCCTTCGTCCTCAATCTTCATCAGGTTAATCTTCCCAATGTCTTCTTCAATTTCCGTTCCAATGCACCATGGGTCTTCTGACGAAGGGGCCACTCCGAGTCAGCCCCAAATACCGGTGGATCCAGATGGGATGGAAACCCACTTCTTTCTCTCTCGCGAATACACCCGACAAGTTCCGACCGTTGCCTTATCTGACGTTGAATTTCGTGAGGCGGTGGCCCTTGCGGGCCCTAGCATCGTCTATTCCCGCCCTTCACTTGGACAGAACATCGTCGATCCCCCTTCTCCCCTTCACATCGGGGTCCATTTAGCCAGTCTGCAAGCGGGGCTTCGCTTCCCACTGCATAATGCCCATTTAAGCGTTATGGGCTATTATGGGGTGATTCAAGGTCAATTTTACCCAACTACTCACATGTTCATTACTGGACTCGTCGCCCAATGCCTCCACTTGGGAATTCGTCCGACAATCAATCTTTTCCTCTATTTGTTCCACTCCGTGAGACCTGGCGCCTCTGAATCCCCAGGCTATCTTTCGATTTCCCAACGGGCTGGCCACCGCTTATTCAAAGCCAAGTCCTACCCTTATTCTTTCAAAGGTTGGAGGCAAAAATGGGTTTGGATTACCCCTGTAAATGGCAAACTCCAGTTCACGAACAAGTGGGGGGAATTAATCCGGAAATGGGCGATGTCGTTCTTATCGGAGGGGAATGTTGAGGCTGCCAGATCGATCGCTGACGGGGCACCCTTCATGATGGAGCACTACGTAGGTGAGGAAGGGGTGGTAGTGCTTACATTCTTGCCAGGTCGGCCTTGCCTGATCTGGGATCTATTTTCCCTTCCTTCTGTTCTTTTTTCTCACATTTCTTGTGTTTTGTTACAGCGGGTGATAAGATGGCTTCCCGACTGGAACGACTCGCTGTGAAGGCTGGCGCCACCTCTGGTCCTCTGGTTCCCCTTAGGAAAAATCAGGGGGATCGATCCCTGGAGTGTTAGTACCCAAATTTGATAAATTTTGATGCCACTATACTCAACACGTGTACATTGTGTCTCAGTTTTATTCTTGTATTAACACTCAAATGTGTGACAAAAATAAATATACAATTTTTGAGACTAATGAAATACTACCGGAAAAATAAAAATGCAATAAGGTAATTTTTGTTTACCTTAATAGGATATTTTGATCCTACCGGTATATATTATTCAGTCCAAAGATTAATTAAATGTCACATTTTAAGATACATTGAATATGTATGATTGAAGACAAATATGACCGGCATTTAATGCCAAATACGTACTGAGGTCCGGAGCAGTGTACGCATACATGGGACTGACTCCTGAAGTGAAGTTTAAGCGGCCAAATAATGCAAGACAAAGGAATCACCCGAAATCAGCTCCATCACAAGAAGACGAATGTACAAGTCGTCCTTGTCAACTTTCAACGCCAGAGATTAATTCATCCTAACCAACGGATGAGATTAATCCAAAGGAGAAGCCTATAAATATAGGCTGAAACGAAAGTTTCTAACCAAGCTTTGAGCATCC